CAAAACTGTTTATTAAGCCAGGAAATTATAGCACATTGTAGAAAGAGTATAAAATAAATCTTTTAGCTCAACATGTTCTAATGCTTAAAGAGCTAAACTTGCTATGGAAATATTTTTATTGTCAAAATTTCCTGATATGCTAAGGCATAGAGCCAAATACAAACATCAGTTTGTGAAATACTGAAGAAATTCTTAGTGCTGTCCTTAGTAAGAAATAATTTTTCTGCCCTTCAAATTGTTTGAGTTATGCTGTGTATTGATGATACAGTTTTGTGGTGCAAATGCTTAGAGTCTGTACTTTCTGTTCAGGGAATGGTAATAACAGAGACAAAGCGTCAAATGCATGAAACCCTGGAACTAAAAGAAGAAGAAATTGCTCAACTTCGTAGTTGTATCAAGCAGATGACCACCCAGGGAGAGGAATTGCGAGAACAGAAAGAAAAGTCTGAAAGAGCTGGTAAGAACTTGGTTTGTGTATTTTATATTGGAGTTCAAAAGTCATGTAAAGTATTTTTAACAAATTACTTAACTGATATAAATGCTTAACTATAGCAACTCTTATGAGATAGCAAAATGCTCATTAGAGAAGGCCTCTGGGCCAGATCTAGCCACAGCCTCAAGCTAAGAGTGATTTTTGTACTTCTAAATGGGTTAGGTGGGGAAGAAAATATGACAGAGACCATATGTCAAATATTAGTGTCTGTCAGATCCTTTCAGAAAATATTTGTTGACCAGTGCCTTAGAGTGATGTAAATTCACAGGTGAATAGCTTTGATATTAGATTATCAAAATTCAGGTTTAAGAAACTTGCAGGTAGTTCAAGCATGAGTTCAGTAACCTCTACCTTGTAGATGATACAGGGCAAACAGAAAGCATGAGTTACAGCTACCTCTAAAGGTAGCTGAAAACAGTAGATCAGAGTAGCATTCAGCAAGCTTAGAACTGAGTATCACTAAGAAAGGTACCTTGTTAGAAAGAAGACAGCTGACCAGGTCAGGAACAGCCTTGAGCATGAAGAGAGCAGAACTCTAGAGAAGTGGGACTGCACACATCTCAGTCACTGCAAAATTGTAAGCAGGCTCAGGGACCATTCAAGGCATGTATGTCTGCTGGAAGCCATTGTTGCTGAAGTGGGACACGGAATTGCAAAGGAACTGACTATAGGAATCTTAAAAGTGAGTCGCTGCATTTAAACTTTGGTTTATAAGGCTTGAAAAGCCAATATAGGAAATCACATTGTGATAGAAGTTAGTGTTTTATGTGGAAAAAAAAAAAGGAAGTGACTAGTTGAAGTTGGAAACAGAAGCAGGTCATCCAGGTTTCAGGAAGAGAAAGCTTTGCCTGCCTTGACTGGGATATTGGCTCTGGGAAGGTGGAAAAAGTCTGAGACTTTGATATTTAATCAACCTAGAGGAGCAGAAGGAAGTCAAATAAGCCCAGCATGGTTTTGTTTTGTTTTTATTTTATATGTATGAGTATTTATGCATTTAAGTGCACACACATGTACACTGCCCACAGAGGCCAGAAGAGGTTTTTGAATTCACTGGAACTGGAGTTATGGATGGTTGTGAGCCACCATGTGTGTGCTGGGAACCAAAACCCAGGTCCTTTGCAAGAGCAACCAGTGCCTTTAACTGCTGAACCAGCTGTCCAGCCCTGAGCCCAGTATTTTAAGTTAAGGAGACTGGATAAATAGTGAATTAGAAAAGAAAATCTGAGTAGGAAAATTGGGGATTAGATTAAAATAATAAATTTAAGTAAGATACTTTGAATTTGAATCAGCTTAGAACATCTTTTAGGAATCATTAGCTTGGGTAGAAGCCTGTGGTTAAATTTGTGCAGAGGCGGATTTCTCCCCTAGGGAGTTTAAATAGTGACATCAGGAGCCACTTTCTTAGTATTTACTGCCACTGCTTTGTTAATACTACTACTCACCAACAGTCACTTTATAATAGCAAGGCCCTGTGATCAGTGTTTTATTTGTACTTAATCATATTTATTCCTTGTAATTCTCTGAAATAGTAACATCATTATTCTCATTTTACAAATAAGGAAACCTAAGAATATATATAAGTAACTTGTTGCCTTTTATGCACAGAAAATAAGCACATAGTCAGGATTTCACTCAATCATTATGGCTCCAGAGTGTATGTCTAAAGGTCTTGAGTTTGGCAGAGAGAAATAAATGGAAAACAACAAAAAAAGGAATCACGGGATTGTGAATGGTTATATTTTGGGGAAAAATACAATAGATGTTTTAGGAAGTGAGGGAAGTTGGTTGAGGAAATTTTATGAAAGTTTTGATTAGGATTTCATTCCAAGGACACAGTTTTGAGAAATGATTTTAGAAAACAGATTATAAGGTATAAAAGAAGAGAGTGGATCTCTAGGAGAAAAATATTTGGCTGATACCATTTGTGCTCATAAATGTATCTCTGTCTCCTTATAGCTGTTTTATGAAGTGATTTGGGGATTTTAGTTAATGAATATCATTAAACCTAAGAAAATTTCCTTCAGAGAGAGTTAATAGCATCTTTCAGAATATAATTTTGTAAAACTTCCTTGAAGTATTTTAAAAGTTGTGAGATACTGATAGACTTGCCTTCAGTGAGTGGAAAACCCAGTATATAATGTCAGTTTCTAAGAGTAAGCCTTCCTAGTTTATGACTGCTTTTTATTAATGTGTGACCACCAGGAAGAAATAATGTTGGCCAGGGAATTAAATTTTTCTTTCAAAGCTGGGGTATACTTTGGTGACTATTAAGTTGAGAAGGGTAAGTTAGTAAATAAAATATATAGTTAATATGAGGATTAAAATTTCCCGGAAAACTTCCAGCCAGATCTTTAATGGTACAACTTTTCTTCCTTTGCATCTCTAAAATACAAATGACAGATGTATTTTGTCTTTAAATGTAATTTTCATAAAAATTTATCTAGGGCTGAAGAGATGGCTCAGTGGTTAAGAGCACTTGCTGCTCTTGTGGAGGAATGTTCACATCACCAATGTTAGCCAGTTCACAACCACCTGTTAACTCTAGCTCCAAGGGATTTGATGCCTATAGCCTCCAAGGGCATCTGCATTCACTTGCACATACTCTTGCCTACATACACATAATAAAAATACAGTCTTTAAAAAAATTATCTGTATCCTTTTCTCCATATACACATATACACACATTCCTTTTGGGGGTGGTAGAGATTGAATCTAGGGTCTCATGCATGCTAAATGTGCACTCCTCCATTAAGCAGCAACCTCATCTCCAAAACTATATTTTTATAAATATTTGGTAATCTGTATGTTGACAAACTTTCTGTTACTATCAATGCCAGAATAATATGAATTAATAAATATTGAAGGAGAGATTTAAATTTTAAACCATTTAATAGATAACATTTATTTTGAAAAGCATCTATATAATATTAGCTATGTGTTTTAAAAATTATATTTTATTTTATTTTATTTATTTATTAATTATAAATTTATAGTCATAATTATTGAGTGCTGTGATAGAAATTTGTAAGAAGACTGATTCTACTTTGAAAATATTACCGATTAAATCTAATAATGAAAATTAGTATTAGCATCAACTACATTTCATCTAATGGTCTCAGTTGAAAAAACTAAGTGTAAAATGGTTCCTCGTTCAAGTAAGAAATAGTCATTGTAGAGGTAGGAGTCTCTGAATAGCCAATGAACATCACCTAGCTTTTATAGAATTCAGCTGTGTTTGTTAAATATCTGTTTTTCTTTTTCTGAGTACAGTCTCTGGCCATTTAAATGAACCATTTACATCACTGCAACTTGCTACTATTTGGATTTTATTTTATTTTTATACTTTTTAGATTGAATTTTTGCAATTTTCATACAGTATAATTTGATGGCATTTTACTATTGGGGTTTTAAAAGCAGGTGTTTGTACATAAAAGTAGTATCAAAGAAACTCTGCTGATGCATTTTCACCTGTAAAAAAAAATTAATTTTGATGTCATCATGTGGATATTGATAGACAATTCCATCGACTCCTTTCTGGATGTTAAAATCAGCTACAGAACAATCGCTATTACTTTTCTTGAGAAACAATCTGATACAATGCTCCTTATATATCCTTCTTTATAAACTGTAATGTTGCCATTTGTTATAGGACAAAGTCTGAATCAGTCTCTAATTTTAAAAAGAATAATTCTGTATAAAAAACTAAGACACAAGCTGGGGAGATGGTTGAGTGGATAAAGTACTTACACTGAAATCTTGAGGACTGGAGTTTGGATCCCCAAAATGCACTTGGTGGATGCCTGTAATCACAGTGTACAGGATGCAGACAGGATCCTAGGAGCAGGCTGCCTAGCTGGACCAGCTGGAATTGGCCAGTCCCAGGTTTGTCGAGAGACCCAGCCACAGTGAATAAATAAAGTAGAGAGCAATCAAGGAAGACAATACCAGCTTAGACCTCCACACACATGTGCATATGCGTACATACAGCAGCATACACATGTTCCAACACACATGTGAACACACACACAGGCATACATACATACACATGTAAAAATAAGTGACTACTAAGACATGAGTGTAGTGATATGCTAATGCCAGGATTCCACAGTCCAGCCCTTATATGTTAGCAGTCTTCTGCAAAGGGGAGTTGGGTTCCTGAACTTTCATATTACAGCACTCCTGCTTGTTAGAATTGTTTCTTTAAATGTGTAAAGAAAAAAAATTGCTTGTTCCAAGCACTGTGCTACACCTGTAAATTTTTATCCCTTTTTATCCCTTTTTGAGTATTACTTAGGGTCAGTAGGTGATCATAGTTTTGAGTTATCTGATTTTAATTTTGGAGAAATCTAATTATTTAGCTTCAGACATACTGATATAATTTAGATGCTAGAAAATACTTATGTCTTGAAAATTATATCCTCACCAATATAGAATGTTAATGTGGAATTCTGCCAATAACTTGAATAAGCCTGAAATATGTGTGTGTGTGTGTGTGTGTGTGTGTGTGTGTGTGTGTGTGTGTTTTAACCAAGGAAGGCAATAAGGATAGCTGGCTAATTATTTAATGCAATATAGTCTTAAAAGATTGAGAAGTAGGGAACTTGAAAGCACATTACTGTTTCAGCATATTTCCGTTTAGTCTTTACCCAATCCATAATTTTATATTGTAATGATATCATACATATAATTTTGTGTTTTTATACCATCATTTATCATTATATTAGGAAAACTTTTACATGTTACTGAGGTATTAATATTTTAATGGCTGTGTCACACTGCATACACATCATTTCCTTGGTAACCATTTCTTTATTGATCAACTACTAACTTTTAAAAATTTTTTGCTCTTGGAAGTACTCTAACAAGTGTAAAATATAGATTAGTTTATATCCTTGATTTTTTTTTCCCCTCATGATAAATTTTTGCCTATAGACCTTTAGTATTTTTTGTTAGTTACTGTTAAG